AGGAAAGGGTAAAATGTATTAAAATTTTTATAATGGGAAGATCTAGGTTTTGTTTTCCTATCTTAGAGTCTTTCTGATATTTTTAATTTTCCATAATGATCTCTCTATATATACATACACACATATATGTACATATATCTATATAATATACATATATAATATATAATTTTAATGATAGGAAAAGCCAAAAGTTTCTCTTTTAACCTCAAACAGGAAAATTAACAATAGAAATGAAAGGATAAATTAGAGGGAGAGGGAAATAGCCAAGAAAAACATGCAAATGTAAACCTGGCCTACCATTTGTAAATGGCACTTACAAATAATAAATCTTTTTCATGTCTCAAATTGGCAAACATATTAAAAGGGCTATTTTCCAAGGGAGTACTCCAGCTTTCAAGAGAACAGAAAACACCCATTTCTATTTCTTTAAAACACAAAGGATAAAGAAAAAGGACTTGGTTTTTAGTGTTGCTTTGCTACCACCCACAGGCAATTATATAAACTACAGCTAAGAAATTATTCTCTTGCCCAGAAATTCACAGTAGTAGTGGATTCCATGCACATTCCCAAACACACACACAAGCAGAAGAAATTTCAGGAAATAAGTATTTATTAAGACTCTGACTGTAGCTACAGAAGTAAAATGTAAATAATGAATGGGGAATTCTGTTGCAAATGATTAGTTCTCCAATTAATGCATAGGGAATTCAGATGAATGTAAACACATGTATTAAAGTACAGGAGCACAGATTGCATCTTGGGCCATACGACAAATTCTACTAGTTATAAAACAATGGAAATCATATGGAATAGAATACCTTAGCATAATGGAATTATCTAGAAAATATTAGAGTAAGAGAGTCCCAGTCTCCATAATCAGTTATGGGTCTGTGTGTTAATCACCATCTACTGAAAATAGAAGTGTCTCTAACGAGGGTCGAAAAAGTCACTACTATATTAGTATATGGGTATAAATGTCAGCTTAGTATTGTGTTCATTTAGCTATACAAATGAACTCACACTGCTTGTGACAGCATGCCAAAGACTTGTGCAAGCCAAAACCACACTAGATGCCAGCATGGAGAGGGAAGGTGGAACCACCCCTACCTGAGAAGCTACTGGTAATTAATAACTAGCTGCAGGAAAAGGCAAATTCAGTTTTATCTAAGAACGTAGCTGCTGTTAAGTCAACCACCTGCCAGTGGAAGTCACATGTCCAAGAATATTTGGGCTTTCACAAATTGGACTTGATTTTTTTAAGGACACACAATTGGGTGAATAGGGAAGTGGGGGCAAATCTAGCAGGAGTCGGAGAAGGGGGTGAAATGATCAAAACACATATGAAACACTCAAAGAACTAATCAGACATCTATTTAAAAGAAACCTGTTTCATTAAACATATTAAACAATCATTTTAAAATAATAAACAGAAAATGAAAGGAAACTCTGCAATTTAAAAGTACAGCAACTGTACTAATTTGAAGGTGACTACAACATGGGCAACACTTAAAATTCTATTCTAAATGAAAGAAGCTAAACAAAAGGTCATGTATTATAAAACTCCCATTTATTTGGTATATCTAGACTAGGCAAGTCCATAGAGAAGAGATGAAAATGAATATTGGGTTTCTTTTTCTGTGGTAATTGAAATGTTCTGGAATTAGTGGTAATAGGAATACAAGGTTGATGCTTACCTTGCAGGAGAGGTACCGTGATCACAAAGGTGGTTTTCCCAGGGCTAGACTCAGCCACTGCACTCTGGATACGCTGACTCCTGAGATTTCTCCAAATGCAGGAAACTCAACTGCATAATTTGTGGTAGTGGGGGACTGCATTCATACTCTCCTCTGAAAAAAAAAAAGAAAGAAAGAAATACATGGCTGTATGTGTATTAGAAACAACTGACTACTACCTATCTAAAGAATGGAATCTATGGTAAATGAATTCTCAATAAATGGAATGGTTAACTGGTTTTCTTAAAGCAACAATAACAAATGATGATGAGAATGCAGGAGGTTGGAGCACTCTTACATTGTTGATGTGAGTGTAAAATGGTCCGGTAATTCTGCAAAAATATCTGGCAGTTCCTTATGTAGAAAAAAAAAAAAAAAAAAAAAAAAAAAAAAAAAACAAAAAAAAAAAAAATAAAACCTAAGCTAAATACATACCATTGATAAAACACTGCCATAGAACCCCGAGGCATTTGTTCCAGAGATTAAAAAAAAAAACTTATATCCACACAAAAATCTATATGCAAATGTTCATGACAACTCTATCTTTTAGAGCTCTGAAACAGAAGCCAGATTGCTTCAACAGGTGACTTTTAAAACTATGGTGTGGATTTTAAAATATGCTACTTAGAAATGCTACATAGAAATGCTACTTAGAACTACTTTCTATCTCGTGATTTCATTTATATAACTTGTTGTTACTGTTTTGTTTGTTTGTTTTTCAAGACAGGGTTTCTTTGTGTAGTCCTGGCTGTCCTGGAACTATTAGACCAAGCTGGCCTTGAACTCACAAGTGCCTGCCTCTGCCTTCTGAGTGCTGGGATTAAAGGTGTGTGCTACCACCACACTTTATATGTACCACAACACATAAAACATTTTGCTCGTCTTTTAAATGGGATTTTATAACGTTTTACTAGCAATCAGACTTGGGCTTTGACAGTATGTATATTTCACACATGCACACTTTCATTCTGACTAACCTCCAACCTTTCCCACCTCCCAAATCAATGCTGTCTATCCCATTTCTTCCCTACAAATCTTTCTCACATCCACTTCTATTAGGTTTGTTTCATAATCTATTGAGTGTAACCAGGGCCACCTGTGTGACCATGGATAGGAAGCTAAGTGTTGCAGCCTGGTGGTCTCACCAGTGGGTACACAACTGAAGTCAAGGACCGCTCCTCTCTCCAAACTCTGTCAATAACCAATAGTTCAGCACTAAAGGGGAGAGGCCTATGAACCCCTCCTTCTTCTATAACTGTTGACAGGACCAGTCTTATGTAGGCTAAATCCAAGCCATAACTGGTGTTGTGAATTCACCATTGCAACAGTTATACTGAGTCTAGAAGTTGGAATTTTGCAGCCCCTCACCCTACCTTCAAACTCCTAGTTCCTGCCTCTTCATCTGCAATATTTTCTGAGTCTTAAAGGAATCCCCTCTCCACATCCATGCCAGCATTTGTTGTCAATGGTATTTTTGATGATAACCATTCTGACTAGTAAGGTGAGATTTTTTTTTTTTTTTGCGAGGGTGGGGTGGGGGTGGTGGTTGGTTTCGAGATAGAGTTTCTCTGTGTAGCTTTGGAGCCTGTCCTAGCACTTGCTCTACACCAGGCTGGTCTCGCCTGCCTCTGCCTCCCAAGTGCCAGGATTAAAGGCGTGCACCACCAGCACCCAGCGGAGATACAGTTTTAATCTGTATTTCCCTGATGGCTAAGGATGTTGAACAGTTTTTCTGTGTATGTGTTTCCTAGTCATTGGTAATGCTAAACTCTATAGATAATTTTTAATTGGGTTGTTGGTTTTTTTTTCTTTTTTTATTCTTTAATTACTACTCTTATCCATTCCCCCCATTCCCTTACCCTCCCATCCTCCCATGTTCCCAACCTACCCCCCAATTCCTCCCTAGGGATAGTGAGGCCCTCATATATCGTTTGGGGGAGGACCTAGGCCCTCCTTGCTGTATATGGGCTGCAATAGTATCCCTCCATAGGAAATGGGCTCCCAAAGTCCATTTGTGCTCTAGGGATAAACACTGGCTCCACTGTTAGAGGTCCCATAAGACTGTCTTGGCCTCCTAGCTGGCACCCACATTCAGAGGGCTTGGTTCAGTCCAATGCTGTTTCCCCAGCTTTATGACTAGGGTCTCCATTCTATCAGTAGGTCAGGTCCACTGTTTCTGCGGGTTTCTTCAGCCCCATCTTGGTTCCTTTGCTCATCCCTTCTCCCTCTCCACAACTGGATTCCAGTAGTATGGTTCAGTGCTTAGCTGTGGGTGCCTGTTTCTGCTTCAAACAGCTACTGGATGTAGGCTCTAGGAATGGTAACCAAGGTTACCAATCTGATTATAGGGGAAGGACATCAATGGCATCCTCTCCAGCACTGCCTGGATTCTTAGTTGGGGTCATCCCTGTGAATCCCCTAACATTTTCTCTGAGACAGACTTCTCTCCATACCTGTACTGTCTCCCTCTATCAAGGCATCTCCTTTCTTGCCCTCCTCTATTCCTCCTTTGTCTCAGTCCTCTTGTTGTCCTCCGCCCCCTTCTTCCCTTCCCACCTCCTTCCTCTCACCCCCCTCCCATTTTGTTCAGGGGTTCTTGTCTCCCTCCCCTTTTTCAAGAGACGATGCAATTTTCTTTTGGGGTCCTCCTTGTATCCTATCTCCTCTGGAAGTGTGGATTGTCCTCTGGCAGTGTGGATTGTAGACTGGTAATCCTTTGCTCTGTGTCTAAAAATCATATGAGTGAGTACATACCATGTTTATCTTTTTGTGACTGGGTTACCTCATTCAGGATGGTTTCTTCTAGTTCCATCCATTTGCATGCGAATTTCAAAATTCCATTGTTTTTTTTTTCCCACTGAGTAGTACTCCATTGTGTAAATGTACCACATTTTCTCTATCTATTCTTCAGTTTAGGGGCATCTAGGTTGCTTCCAGGTTCTGTTTTAGCAGGAGACGTGGTCTTCCTCAGAAAAGAATACACCAATTTGTTGTCCAGTGTCAAATAGTCAGCCCTAAAACAGAAATACAAGTAACATTATATGGACTGGACAGATTCTATTTAAGAATATATTATGTATTAGATAACCAGTTGGTGTGCTCTTCCCTAGGGAAGACTATTTCTCCCGCTCTTAGCATTCTTTAGTTGCCTGTAGTTCTTTGTGTAGGGTTTTCCTCCTGGGCTTTCCCTCACCCACTTTAGCATGTCTAGTGTTGTCCTTGTTCAGCACAGGTTTAGGCACTCATACTGGTAAAACTATGTATGTCGCTTCTGACATTCTTAGGAGACACAATGTCATAGCAAACTCCCTGTTCCTCTGTCTTTTACAATCGTTCCACAACCTCTTCCACAACAATCCCTGAGCCTTTGGTGCAGAATCATATTGTTGATGTATCTATTGGGACAGGGTTCATAATTCTGCATCCTGATTGGTTGTGGTTTTCTGTAATGGTCTTTGTTGGAAAGAGAAGTTTCTATGATGAGAGGTTAGGACTACACTCAGTATAAGGACAAATATTTAGAATGTTGTTAGGGATTATGCTGGTTTAGTAAAGTGGCAACTGTATGTTCTCCGAGTCATACAGTCTAGCTAACTACAGAGCATGACTCCCCCCCCACCCTTGTTGAGCAGATCTTAAGTCCAAACAGAGAGCTGTTGGTTACCTCCAAGGGTATGTGTGCCACTACTGCACCCTTAGGGTTATTGCACCATCTGGGTTGTTGTGGCTGCTTCCCTCCTTTGGAAGCTTGCATAGCACTTCTGGTACCATGAAAGCTAGTCCTCAGGAAGGAGGCTTTCATGTCAGTTCCGGCTTAGGGGTCTATGGACTCTATGTCCAAAGTGCATGGTGCTTTCAGGAATAGGGACTTACCTTCCACATGGAGGGGCAGTGTGGCAACCAAGGGCAGTTTTTGGAAGTCCCTTGGACAGCCCTAACCAACAACTCAAAAGAGGGCTTTTCATGCCTGCTGTTGAAGCAATGTCAGCACAGGTGGGAAATTTTCATTTAAAGTACTTATGTATATCTATACACTGACTTGTGCATATTACAGGCATTTTTAGGTAGATAGCTATGAGTATGACTCCTTATAACTTTTTCAGATATTTTTACTGTTATTTTATCCTCCTCCCCCTTTCTGTATTTATAATCCTCCTCCTCCCTAATTAGAGGCACCATTTTTTCCCATTTGCCCCATCAGACCACTTGTACCCTGCTATTGGCCTCTCTATTGCTCCCCTACTCCCTACCCCTGCCCCCAGCACAGCAATGGCCCCCTTTTACTTTCCTGGTTTTTGCAGTTACTCCTGGATATGTACTCACATCTGAAGATTTGGAACTAGGAGCTTCCGATGAGAAAGAACATGTGATGTTTGTCTGGGTTTTATCTGCTTTTAATTGTGGTGATACTGGCTTCATAAAGAGTTTGGTATTTTTTTCCCCTTTTCTCGTTTATGGAATAGTTTGAGTAGTATTGGCATTAGTTCTGTGATGCTCTGCTAGAATATTTCTGTGACTCCATCTAGATTTGAACTTTTCATAATTTCTTCACTGCTCTGAATTATTTCTCTCCATCTACTATCTTGGGATTTGGATTGTTTTTGTTTTTCCAAAGCCTAAAGATACACAAGTTAGTTTTTTGAGACCTTGCAAATCGTTATACTTTTAATATTTTAAAACTTAAGCTTCATTATCAGAAATTGAAACTTAAAAAAAATCACACACTAAAATTAGCCAGACCCAAAGATTATACAACTCACTAAACTTCTATACGTCATTTGAAAAGAAAGCTGTGGAGTGTCACATTGATTTACATTTTCACTATTGCAGGAACAGAGAGAGCCAATGCTCAGGCCTCAGGCTTTTGTGGGACTCGAGTGCACCCTGTGACCAGGACTGCACTCCAGTGGCTTCAGAGTTGAGTCCAGGGCTTGGGCTTTGGCTCCAGTGTGCCCAGTATCCCCTAAGAGACAAACACTGATTCCAGTAATCTCTGGGGTTGTTATGAGTGTGGGATTCTGATTTCTATGGGTCCAGTACAGGACCTGGAATCTATATTTCTGTAGTTCCAGAGGCTACTTTGGGCCAGTGGCTCTAACCACAGCCCCAGATAGTAGACAGACTTTACTGGGTCTGAAATTTGGTATCCTGTCTCCAGCAGGTTCATACAATCCAAGGAGTGACCAAGGTTTTGGTCCTGCTGGCATATAGCCAAGATGAGACCATTTCAGCAACCCATTCGATAACCATCACCGAGTTCCACTAGTCCCCTTAACTAAACTTCATCCTGATACTCCTCTATGCAGAAAACAATATCCTAACAGGCTTGGAAGAAGAGGAAAGTCAAAAGGAACCCACTTCAACAGATGCATAAAACATAACGAAGCAATATAAAAAAATGACACAACCACCACCTATGGCCCATGACCAACAGACCAAATCCCCTATAAGGGGATCCTAAATTATGGATATAGTTGAACTGAGATTTTGGAGTTACTGTTCAAAAGTAATGATCATATAGAAGAGTTAAAAAACCAGATGCATAAATTAAGGATATCTATCCAAGACCTTGAAAGGGCAGTCTCCAAAGTGAACATACCCACTAGTAAATTGGAGATAAAACTCCAAAATATTGAGGAAAAATTTAGAAATGACATTGAAACCCTGAAAAATGATCAAACATAAATAACCCTTTCCTCTCCAAGTTGCTTTTGGTCATGGTGTTTCATCAGAACAGACAGCAAACCAGGATAATGTCTATCCAAGACCTTCTAGCTCTTGAAGTTTCATTGAATAAGCAGCAGTTATTTGGATGGGTTTGCCTTTATATTTTGACTCCCCCCCTTTCAATACCTCTCTTTTTTCTTTCTCTTATGAGATGGGAGGTATTTTTGCTTTGTTTTTAACTTTTTGATTCTTTGTGGCTTTCACATCATGCATCTTGATCCCATTTATCTCCCCACTTCATATCTACCCTCTGCCCTTGCAAATGCCACCCCCCAATACAATAAAATTTAAAAGAAAAAAAGAAACATCTCGTCATGGAAGCTGTAGTGTGACACAGTGAACCACATGGCATACCCTTTAGTCCATGCATCTTTACTTGTAAGTGTTCATTGCAGTGAGTCACTGGTCCAGTTGGAGGCCTTTGGTCTATGCTACATCATCAATACTGGGCCCTGACTGGGACTCCTCTTAGATATTGTTGTTACCCTGTGTCGTGGAGACCCTGCAGTTCTGCATCTACAGGACGGGCCCCTTCATGTGCTTCAGCAGATCATACACATTGGCCAACTCATAGCCCTAGTTCTGGACCTGGGTAATTGCAGGGTTGCTCAGCCTGCCAGTTCTACCCCATCCTCATCACCAGGGTGAGCTCTCCAGCACTACCCCAAGCTAGTTGACCTTATGCAGCAGGCAGCAAGGGGCAGGGGCAGGTTCTGTTTTCATGCCCTCAGGGCTGGCTTACTAACACCTATACCACCAGGGCCAGTTCTGTGTTGCCCAGACGGGTGTAGGGGCCACATTCTAGAGTGTTGGCGCTGGTGAGGACAGGGCAACTCTCCCACTCTCATGACCTCAGGGCCAGTTCTGCCCACAGGCGATAAGGGCGGTGGGGGGCATCGCTCTTGTTCACACCACTGATGGTACCAGATCTCCCACACTCACATTCTTGGGGAAGCTCCCCCTCCAACAGAGACGTGGTGTGTGTTTTAACTGATTTGGAGTGTTCCACTCCACCTTGTCTTCAAAGACCTGATATTCTTTTTGTGTGATCCATTCTGTTGTTGGCGTTCCACTGAGCTTTTTTTTTTTTTTTTTTTTTTTAACAGATTTTAAAGTTCATTTGTTATTTTGTTTCAGTGTTGTTTTTGTTTTGGTGTTTCTATCTTTACTGAATTTAGTTTTCATATATTGAAATATCCTCATTGTTTTGTTTAGCTGTTTATGTTTATGTGGCTTTCCATTATTTTATTCCTGTTATCTTTAAGTTCATTCATGTGGCTATCTGTACCCTCTCTGAATGCTTTGAAATCGTTGAACATGTTTATAATTGTCTTTTGGAATTCTGTGTCTTGAATTTCTTCTAACTTAATCTCTTTAGGGAACATTACTAAGAAATTGGTTATTTGGAAGACGACTGAATATTGGATTAGTTTACCCAGTTTTTGCACATCTAGATTTACAATGTTATTTGTGTTTTGGCATGGGTTTTTAACCCACCAGGTCAGAAATCCCAAGTGCGATTGTGGGCTAGGTAGCTTGGGGGACCCTTGAGATAGAATGATAAGGGGTCTGGGGTTTCAGTGGGGACAAGGTCTAGTACACAGTCTAAGTGGAGTGGCTATGGAGCACTGGACCGCCCGAAGAGTTGGCATGGGAGTCACTTACTGAGGGCCAGGACATGGTGATTGCATGGGGTGGTTGTGGTGCACAGGACCAGATGTGGAGTGTGCCAGGAGTCAGGGTAGGTAGGGGTGGGTCACTTTCCTAGCCTGAGCCAGAGCAACCTTGTGGAAGAGCTATGGTGCACTGTAATGCAGTCAGAATGGGTGAGGGGGCAGGGCAGGTGTCCAGGGCCTGGAAGGAGAGTAAGGAATGGCTGTGACCTGAGCAACCAGAGGTAGCGGTACTACATGGGGCAGCTGTGGGGTGTGGGACCAGAGGTGGTGGTACAACTTTTTGATAATACAAAATTATAGAGATGTACCAGAGATTTACAGTTCTCAGGTGTTAGGGACAGGCATGGAGGATAAGGAGGTAGAAGTGGTATGATTATGACAGGACAACATTCAAGGAATCTTTGTGGTGATAACCATTCTGTATCCTGACTAGGACGGTCATGGATTCACAAACCTACACACTTGATAAAATTATAGAATTATATTCATACACATGCATAAATGAGTACACACATAAATAACGAGGAAAGAAACATGGATTAGATTAATAGATTATATTAATGCCCATTTTCTGTGATATTGTTTGGAGGGAAAACAAGGTAAAGAATACATATATTCACACAACCACATGCAAATCCACAACTGTTTCAACGTTTTTATTAAAACAACTTTGAAAACTATAGGAAACTATATATAACATGGTGGCTAAAGAGTCTTACATCACGACATATAGAATTCCTTGGAGAGGGGGAAACATATATTCAACTATATAAAATAAGTTAAAGGCAAAAATACCAAAATACCTAAATTAGATTTATTTAGCCATACCATGGATTATTTTGTGGCTATTCAAGACTAAGCAAGGGCTAGGGAGGTGGCTCAGCTCAGGAGTACAGTGATGGCTGGCAGATGTGAGAGTCTGAGCTTGATCCCAAGCTCTGGAAAGAGAGAAAGGAGTTAACTCAGTTAACTTGGAGGAATTGCCCAGACAGCAAATCAAGCTACAAGTAATCCAGGTTATAACAAGGGTTCCTTGAAACTTCCTCAAGGCAGGAGCAACAGCAGCAAAAGCTTTGTAAAGTTACCATTAGAGTCACGGACCAGATGAAAGTTTCAAGTGACGGTCTGGCTTAGGCTGGTTTGAGCAACATATGCTCATATTCCCATTTTCCTAGGAAATGAGCCTCACATAAAATGAAAACTTAACTGAGACTACTTCTAAGACACTGTTCTGCTGGTGTTGAATTCCTGAGATACACCTGTTATGTCACTCAGCTGTCATGGTAACAAAACATCCCAATCAACTTAACTTCCAGGCTGGCCTAGGCTACAGAATAAGAACTTATATCAAACAAGGGAAATAAACTATGTAACAAAGAAACAAGCCATAAACTCCTGACAGTGAGGGAATTGATGGTTGCAGACAACCCAGCATAAACTAAGCCTACAGCTTTAAAACTTTTCCTCTATTCTCGATCCTTAAGTGACAATGACTCCCACCCTCTGGGAAGTATTATGAGATGAGCAGGGTGCTTCTAAGGATATCACTAGGCAACTTCCTGTATTGCAGGTCTGATTTTCCTCCTCCCTGATTCACAATGTCTTGAAAATAGAAGGACACACAATGACAGACAAGGAACTACTTGTCTAGCTCTTCCAAAATAAAAACTGAATATTGGCACATCACTGTAATCTTAGTACTTGGGAAGCTGAGGCAGAAGGATCATTGGGAGTTCAGGGCTAGCCTAGGTTACAAAGAAAATAGTATATCAAATCCCCTCCCACCTCAAAATTTGTTTGCCACAAATGGCTAAAGTGCTCTAAAAGAAAAGGCTCTTCATACTGGCTGGTGCTGACAATTGCTATTAAAACCTTTTATAATGTGGGCCACTGAGACAGCCCAGTGAATAAAAGTGTGTGATGCCAAGCCAGATGAGTTCAATCCCTGGAACTCTCATGGTGGAGAGACCCAATTCCAGCAAGTCCTCCTCTGAACTCCACATGCATACTGTGGCTGGCACACGCACGCACGCACGCACACACAGGCACACACGCAAGAATGCACACACACAGTAACTAAATAAATGTAAATGTATTTTTTAAAAACATTTATACTTTGATTAGAATTAAGTACAATCCTATTACTTTTCTATCTTTTAAAAACTCACATTTATTTAGGTGTGTGTCAGACAGTGGATAACATTCAGAAGTCAATTCTTTCCTACCCTGGGGTTCTGGGGACTGAGCTCAGGCTGTCAGGATTGACAACAATCACCTTTATTGGCTGTGTCATTTCACTAGCCCTGTATCTGTCTTTTAAAAAAACTGTGATTAAAACATTTTTTCCCACTGTTTACTATTTGGCTATTTCACAGAAGTGTCTATAGTGCCTGATTTTCTACTGTTATTTTATGCTCTAAATAAGTTTATTTTACATTCTTCTCATCAGAAAAGGAGGATGTCATCATTGTTGAAATTCTGAAAAATTCACAGGTGTATAAGCTAAGGAAAGGTTAATTTAGAATCACTCCTCATCATTCTGATGGATTTGTACAGTTTTCTCTACAGGTTCTTCAGGTAACTGCACACACATAAACCAATATATAAAATGAGATGGTGCTTCTACTTTATAGATTTCTATGTATTATCTTGAAGAGATGAGTATTTTTTCATGTCACTAAAAATTCAGAATGGCATTTTATTTACATAGGAATACTCATATATGTTTTTCTGAGACAGGGTTTCTCCGTGTAATAGTCCTAGCTGTCCTGGAACTAGCTCTGTCTGTACACCAGGCTGGCCTCTGCCTCCCAAGTGCTGGGACTAAAGGCACATTCTACCACCAACCGGCTAATACTTTATATTTTAAAGTTTCACAATTATTTTTGATGATTTCATATGTAAATATTGAATTTAGAACATTTCCATCTTTTGCTCTCTACCTCCACCTCCTCCTACTGGAAGAGTGAGACAGTGTTAAGATACAGTCCTCCCTACAGCCACTGTGGAAATCAGTATGGCAATTTATCAGAAAATTAGGGATCAACCTACCTCAAGACCCTGCAATACCACTGTTGGGCATATACCCAAAGGAGGCACATTCACACCACAACGACATTTGCTCAACTATATTCATAGCAACATTATTTGTAATAACCAGATCTTGGAAACAACCCAGATGCCCCTCAACTGAACAATGGATAAAGAAAATGTGGTATATTTATGCAATAGAGTACTACCAGGGGTAAGAAACAATGACATCCTAAAATTCACAGGCAAATGGACAGAACTAGAAAAAAACATCCTGAGTGTGGTAACCCAAAACCAGAAAGACTAATTTAGTATGTATTCACTCATAAGTGGATACCAGACATAAAGCAAAAGATACCCAGTCTACAATTCACAACCCAGAGAAGCTAGAATCCTCTTCCAGAAACAGATGAAAGTAGATGCAGAAAACCACAACTAACCTTTGGGCCAAGCTCCTGGAGTACAATCAAAGTGAGGGAGGAGCAATAATATGAACAAAGGAGTCAAGACCACGATGGGAAAACCCACAGAATCAGCTGACAGGAGCTAGTGAGAGATCAGTGACTGAGGTCTGACAAATGGGGAACCTGCATAGGACTGATTAGACTCCCTTAATATAGGTGACAATGGTGCAAATGGGACGATATATGAAGTCACTGGCAGTGGGTCCAAGATCTAACACTAATGCACAAACTGATTTAGTGGAGCCCATTCTACATGGAGAGATACCTTGCTCAGCCTAGATACGGGGGTGTGAGGGGTGGAGAAGTGCTTTGGTCCTGCCTCAATGAGATGATGGGACAGACTTAGTAGATTTCCTAGGGGAGGCCTTACCCTTTCTGAGGAGCAGATGGGAGGTGAGGAGGAGTGGGGGGAGCAGGAGGGGAGGAAGGAGGGAGAACTGGGATTGGAATGTAAAAACTAAATGAATGAAAAAAACGATAGGGTCCTCCTCCCCACACCTTCCCAGATACATGACCTCTTATTCTTTAATTATTATCCTTACATACGCATATGTGTTTATATAAATAAAACCTGCTCAGTCCATTTAGTTTTGCTCATATGTATGTGTTTAAGGCTGAACACTTGGTTGGATACCCACAGAGGCTAGGTTAAGGACGAGGGGAGGAGAGGTTCTTCCAAGAAAGAGTAAATAGAATATAGTGTTATGGAGAGATAAAGGGGAAACTAGAATAGGAGGACTAAACGGGGAGGGGGAGAGAACAGGGTAAAACAGGATTATGGAGAAGGACAACTAACAGTAAAGGCCCATGAAAAACAACATGTAAACCAACCACTACAGAAGCTTCCTAAAATATACACATATATGAAAGGAATTCAAATGGAGTCATCATATAAGGGGTGAGACTGCCCCAACTAGACATTTTATGCTAACAAGTAAAACCTTCAGTATTGGGAATGGGTTACATTTTGAGTCACTGGCTGAAGGGGATCCATGGCCCTCCCCTAAATTTCACAGGCTATTGTGAAAGCTATTGGTTGGTCCCCATAACCTAATGGTAAGGCTCTATGGCTGAAGACAATACTTACTTACATCATGACACATGAAGAAATGAGCTGGTGCCCAACTAGAAGCTTCACTACTATTGACTTTGTTCATGGTGCTGGAAGGTACTCTGCACACTCCTAGAGGAGAAAAGTAATTATCAGTATCACCCAGCTACAAACCCTACAACCTACAACAGTTACCTGCTTATAAGATAGGCTGGTACAACAGTGGTACAAATGTTTGGGCGTAACCAACCACTTTCTGATTGGATTCGAAGCCCACTAAATGAGATGGAATCCATACCTAACACTACTAAAGTGGCCTAGAACCTGAGTATAGGTCACAGTTAGGGGAAAACCTAATACTATTAGTCTGTTAAAGGAACTTAGCAATAAAATGACTCCCAATGACATACTGCTATAGCCATAGTTCCTTGCATCACCCAACCCTCATAAGAGAAGCTTCTTTTGGCAATAGACGGGAATTAACACACAGGCCCACAAGTGGACAATGTGTAGAGTCTGTTTAGTTTCTTTTTGTTCATCCATCCATCCATCCATCCATCCATCCATCCATTCATTCATTCATTCATTCTTTTCTTTGGTTTTACGAGACAGGGTTTCTCTGTGTAACAGCTCTGGCTATTCTGAAACTCATTTTGTAGACCAGGCTGGCCTTGAACTCACAGAGATTCTCCTGCCTCTGCCTCTCGAATGCTGGAATTGAAGGCGTGTGCCACCACTGCCCAGCTTGGCTTCATTTCTTTTGGAGGGGGTGGAAGAAACATGAAGTTAGGTGAGTAGGGAGAAGGGGAGTATCTGCGCAGAGCTGAGAAAGGGGAAAAACATGATCAAAATATGTTGAATGAAAAGAAATTAACCAAAGAGAAAAAAAAATAAGACCTAGAGATGGAGCTCATAGCTCAGCCGTAGCCAATTTGCCTACCGTGCAAGGACTTGCATTCAAGTACTAGTACCAGAAAACTTTTTAATTAAAAACAGAAAATAAGCCGGGCATTGGTGGTGCACGCCCTTAATCCCAGCACTCAGGAGGCAGAGGCAGGTGGATCTCTATAAGTTCGAGGCTACCCTGGTCTCCAGAGCAAGTGCCAGTATAGGCTTCAAAGCTACACAGAGAAACCTTGTCTTGAAAAACCAATAAATAAATAAATAAATAAATAAATAAATAAATAAATAAATGGATACAATGAAAAGTATCCTTTTCAGCTTAATCTTCCATCTCCTTTGTTCCTACTTACCCACTCATCCACAGTTAACCACGGTTATTGCTTTCTTCAGTAAACCTCAAGTACACGTGCTTGTGTACAAGCAAATATATAGCTTCCCAAATATACAATATGCAGTATTAACATACATTTTTAACAAACACTTTCTGCACACTTAATAGTATATCTTGCTGGTCTATACACTGTGGTATATAAAACATTTCCTCATTCTTTGTAGCGGCATTGTAGTTTCATAACCATTTATTTAATGGGTGCTTTGATAGACATTTGAGTTTTGCTATTAAAAATAATGCTGTAGTGAATGACTTGTATACATGTCTTTTCAAACACATACAAACACTAGCATATCTACAGGATATGGTTTTGGAAGGGAAACTGCTGGGTTACAGGCTATAGACAGTCACAATTTCGCAGACTGCTTACATTGCCTTCAATAAACATATCAAATTATACTGTTAACAACAATGCCTAACAAGTTTCCCTGGCAGAGTCATGATAACAGTATTTTTTCAAATGTTTTGTCATTAAAATTGGTCTTTTAAGTTTTTATTTTTGGATTTTCAGTTTATAATGGCTGTTGGCAAACAGGCCTTGATGCTCCCTCCCCCAGCTTCTGACTAAAATACCTAAGAATACCCAGAAAAGGAGAAAGCTTGCAACTAAAATAAAGCACATTCTCTCTCTCTCTCTCTCTCTCTCTCTCTCTCTCTCTCTCTCTCACACACACACACACACACACACACACACACACACTTTTCTCTAAGGACTTTTCTCAATAATCCCATACGGTATTGTGAGACATATTTGACCAATGAAAAAGCCATGGCTCAGAAAGCTGAAACCATCTGCTTATCTAGAGATATATCATAAGGGTCAGAGCTAGGGGCCAGAATGATGGCTCAGAGATTAAGCACACTTGTCACTCTTGCAGAAGACTTGGGTTCAGTTCTCAGAACCCACACGGCCACCTATACCTACCTGCATCTCTAGTCCCAGGGGATCCAGCACCCTTTAGTTGCCTCCATGGACATATGCACATACATACGTGCAGGTAAACACTCAAACACATAAAATAATCCTGTTCTTTAACAAAGTGGCAGACCTGAGCTTCAAATATAGGTCTGCCAGATTATGAAGCAATACTCTTCAATATGGCACACATTTACTTTCTTTCTCTGTTCCTACCAAGGTACAGGGACAGGATTATAAAATCAGAAAAATTGTTTGCCCCCTCAGATTGAGTACTGACTTCTGAGAAAGTTCAAAATGCTTTTCTTTCTTCTATTCCTTCATATCTACAGTAGTTTCCCCCTTATATCTGTGGAAAACTACAATTTGGAAACTCAAAAGTATATGTATAAAATGGGTAAAAGAATGTAGAACTGAAAAGAGGGATGCATTTGATAGCCACTGGAGAAGATAATGCACTATAACAAGTGTGGTTAATATCAAGCCTTTACAGTAGTCAGGCACTGGCCAAGAGTTTTCATTGCAACAGCTCAATTGTGTAGAGTCTGCCAGTCCTTCAAGGTGAAGAAGCTGAAGCTTGAGGAAGTATTTGCTCAAACTGACAAAAACATAGGTGGAGCTGGGCTATTTCTGTGAAAGGATTATTTACTCACAGAGTGAGAGAAAAGACTGTAGCACTGCTGTTCATTTGCAACCTATACCAATGGCTGTGCTCTTCCTTGCACCACTATTCTAAATTGCAAATCATCTCCTTCTGTGACTTCAGACTCAGATCACTAGAGGTAGAATTTGATATTAAAGGGAGTCCAGCATGCATAGGACCAAAAGTAAAAACAAATTTATTTGCCTAAGACACAGTACTGGGCTGCAGTTTCCATGTGCCTTCATCCTGCTTCAATTCTTCAATCCTTCCCATCTGTTCACCAGTTCATGGAATAATTCTCTTCCCTGCCATAGATGCAGATCTAAATAAAGTGTGATAGAAACCTGACACAGCCTGAAAATGAAGGGAACTCCAAGGGGACGCTGCTCTGTAGTGTTTCTTTTAAGCTCCTTGGGGCTTCTGCCATCTCGTGGTTTAAGTGTTGGGGAAAGCCACCCCTGACTGCTGGAGTCTGTGTCAAGGAAGTGAGTCAGAGACTTTGGGTAAACAGCAGGTTAGAAGCTGCCTTCATGTAAGCCTGTGAAGGAGAGACTCAAAGTAAAAGAACCTAGACACTGGTCCAAACAGAGGCAGAGCTTTTGATATCCACAAAGAAAATGCAAGGAAACCTGTAATGTGCAAAGAGAGGCAACAAATTCATAGAAATTAAGCTGAACATGGCTCTCTAGGGGAGGGAAGGGATGCAGAAATCACTTCCTAAAATTCTTTCTTTCTCTCTCAGAGGAGTGGGGACTAAACGTGCTGCTCAACAAAATTCCCAAATAAAGCCAGAAGATTTACCAATAGATGGGCAAACCACAACACAAACACAAGTAACATAAAGCAAGGTCACATGACTGCCCCAGAAAGATCATAATTCCTCTACTACAGAGCTCAAAGATACTAATATGTAAAATGCTGGATAAAAACTTCCAAAGTTGACTGATAAGAATGATCAATTACCTGAGAGAGGATGCAAAAAAGCAGATGAAGTCAGGGAAGGAGGTGGAAAGTAAGGATACAAGGAAACACTATGGAAAGAATCAGAAAAATTGATGAGAATATTAGCAACACAGGCAAAAGAATGGCAATAGACAAAAATTCAGCAAGGAAATTGCAATTTCCATGGCATTTGCGCACGCCCACGCACACCCACACACACT